AGCACCAAGCCAAATAAATCCTTTGCATGCCGGTGTGTATATGACCTATACGAACACATATCCGAGCACGGAGGAGTGGACGGGCAAACAGGGAAATGGAATCGTGACAAATCGAATCATCATCAATATCAGAGAAACGAGTAAACAGCGCGACCAATGTTTCTCGGGCATCGAAGTTGATAAATTAATAACGACGAACCAATATAGCCGTAGCTATATTGGGGTGGGATCGAGGGAGGGGCGAGGGTCGAAGTAGAAAAAAATGTTCGACGCCAGGCCGAAGCCGGAGAACGGTTGAAAAATGCAGAGCGCCGCGCGTGTATCAACGGCCAGCCCAATAAATTTCTCCCGTTCGTCGAACTCTCTGTATTTTGCGCGAATTTCGTGGAACCGCGATCCTAGTTCCGCCCAGAAATTCGACGATTTAAGTCGAAACGTGGGGGAACGGAACAAAACCCTACCCCCTGTCTCTCTCTCTCTCTCTCTCCATTCCCATATAAAATATCGACCTAGGCGGACGAGAACTCGCGATTTTTCTCGACCGCCGCGAGGATATCAATCCCTGATTGTTCACCGGCGAAATTTATCGCGTTTTAAATTTCCGTTTGACCGCTCGTTACTTGCCTGCAATCGTTCTTCATCAAGGGGACAATGCTATCGGTCGGACGTACGTGAAAATGGGAACGACGATTCGAACGAACCTCGTTCGAACTGGTTCCCCTAATATCGGTGATAACGAACGACCTCTCTAAGCACCATTCTCTCTCTCTCTCTCTCTCTCTCTCTCTCTCTCTCTCTGGCTTTCTCCGGCCACATTTATCTCTTAACTACTATCGCCATTTCGTCTATTAGCGGACTAATGCGCTTGGCTCTCGGCAGTCTCGAGCAGGAGAGCAGCTGCGCGTAAGAGCCGGGTCGCGCTCGGGTTTAAACGAAAATTATTAGACACTTGCGAAGGGGTGACCACAGCCGTGGTCGTCGACTGTATCTGCCGCCATTACGCGACAACCGCCACGTTGGATCGGAATATCACCGGATCCACTCGAGGATGGGTTCTTCAACTGAAATTGACGGGGGTAAGGTGCGGAATTGGAATTTAACGCCGCCCACGCTGATAAGTGGACGTTTTTGCGCGCCCTCCCCATCCTCCCGAGGAAGGAGATGGTAATTCGTCTGTAGAGGTGTTTTTGGATTTTATACGCTGGAAAGGAGGACTCGGGATAGATCTCGGTGAAATAAGAGAGGCGAGAGCGAGAGGATTTATAGGATCTGAATTACAGTGGGTTCGGTCGTTAAGAGGGAGATGGATTGTGAGAAAGTGGGTATCTCGAGAGACGCGGGTGTACGAGCACGGGTGGTAAGATACTCGGCCGTTGCACCGAGTGAATAACGGTTTTTGTTTTTAAATTTTTTTAGATCGATGTCGGTTTATCCCTGGAATCTAGAAAAGTCGCGAAGAAACAAACGATAAAGGCTTCCCTAAGTGCAATTCATAAGGCAGAGAGTAAACGTAAGTAGAACGAATGCGATCCTAAATTGAAAATCACGGATTTGGAACGTCGGTAGGACAAGCGAAAGTAACAAATCTTCTTTTACCTGAAAGAAAACGCGAATGCTCGCGCAAAAAGTGGCGGCCGGTGTAACCCATGGTTGTGTAACCGTGGCGGTGTGCGTTCCTCGTTCCGTGATTCATGCGTCTCGCGATGTGGGTTGCCGTGAGAGCGCCATGGGGTTACGAACGGACCTTAATGGTCTCCGGTTAAGCAGAAAAGGAAGAAAGGTTCACGAGGGTAAAAATTCTACCGAGGAAAGATTCGAGGGAGTGAAGTATAGCAGCAGCTATATATATAGGTGGCTCTTTGTTTGCACTAGATTTTCCTTAATTCACCTCTTTCTTCCATCCAACCTGCTCACTTCTGACAAAACTTCTACATTGCTCCCCCCTCCCCCCTTTTTCCATTCGCTTTTTTTCCTTTTTCTTTTCTTCTTTTTCTTTTTTTTTGTTTTAAAGTACATCATTTGGACGCGCTTCAAAAAATTAAAATCTCCCTTTCCAATCGATTTGGTAAATTCCATTTTTCCCCTTTTCATCTCTGATGTAAAATAAATGTTGCTCTTTATCTATTCATTTTCTTTCCTTTCTCTATTTATGTTTTTTTTTTTTTTTTAAAGAATAACTAGAGATCTTGGACTTGTTTCAAATCAAGTAAAATCTTTTCAACCGATTTGATATGATAAATTCATTCTTTCCTTCTTTTCAATCTGTTCAGTTCGAACAATAAATTATTACATCACCTCTTCCCTTCTCTTCTTTTCAAAAGAAGAATCACATCACCCACGGTCTCGCCAAACCGACTAAAATCTTTCCAGAGTAGGTTCGCTATCCACGTTAAACAAACCCGCGTAATCGAGCTTGAATCGATGGATTAAGAATCCAATTGGAGCTGTCCGACCTGCTTCCACCCCCCATCCCTCTCTCCTTCCTCCGATTTCACCGTGAAATCCCTCGAAATCCGTATCCTACCCACCTTCGTAGCAC